AGACGAGCTGATGTGGGTTACCGTCAACACGAACGAGAGTGACAACGTAAACGGCGTGAAATTCAACGTGCTAAAAAAAACGAAAAATCTGTGTTGAAAAGGATATCCGAGCAATAGATGCACACAAAAAGTATTTTATATAATCAGACTCTGAGAATTAAAATTAAATGATTATCACGTTGCATCCGTATTAATAATAATCATTAGATCAATTGACTAGACTATATTAAAGAATACATTCAAAAAACTCCCGATCAAATGGTACTGGTCCTGCGCAGAATCGCATGATGCGCAGCTACCCTAATGTTACTTGAAGGTGTGGTGCGAGGGTGAATAAATAATCACCTTGTATTTCACCCAGGTGGTGGCACATAATCTACCTTGATGCAACTACCACCTCTGTTCGCCACCTTCAGTGGTCACGGACGTTTCCGTGTCACCACAGCATCGAACTTCACACAAGCAGCACTAACTGTTGATCACAACCTTAGACGACCAATTATCACATCAAATTTTTTATTGTGAAATCAAAGAAAATAGTAATGACCGAAATACAATTGATGTTATGAAATTCATTATCGATTCTCAACACAAAAAAACAATAGTCATTGACAACATGTCATGTAGACGTATATGTGCGTATGTGTTCCTTTATTTCCTGCTTAGGTGGTATTGATCGAAATTCTAATTGCGGAGAGGTTTACATAGTGCAGTTTTTTACATTGACAATAATCTTACGTTTCTCGTTACAAATCATATCTACCTAAATTAGGTAATAATTAATTATAATGGTTGCCAATTTTAGGGCAAATATAATTATAATGGTTTGCTAAATTTTAGGCAAATATAATTATGATGGTTTGCTAATTTTACACCTTCGAGGTCAAACTATGCAGGGTAAGATTCAATTATAACAAATCATTTAATTTGTGAAACAGGGATATTTAAAAATTACGCGTGCAAAAAAACATAACTAAATTTAGCAAATAGTTGATTACATGGTTACTAGTTTTACGGTTTATTTTTTAAAAAAAAATCAAACCGATTGAATATTACAAAGGTATTGAACATCTATAAAAATGCTCGAGATTTGACTCATTGCAACATTATTTAAAATCATAACATTCTTAAAAACTTGCTTTAAAATTAGATTGTAAAAAAAAATGACAAAAATCACCTCAATTCTTGCAGTAGTTGGTCTTGTGTTTTCTTGCCTCATTTTAATTGCTCAAGCTGCTGATCCACCCACTTCTATTGGAAATCCTGGTAAGAATTTGTTTTTTTTTACGTTTTTAATGCCGTAAAATACTCAACACCATTATATTCATTATATCAAAAAAATAAAACAGATTTTCCTAATGATCTGGAAATCCCGGCTGGAATCGCGGTTGATCTCACTCTCAATAAATTCTCGTTCTCCTTGTGTCTCGTAGGAGTAATTGATTTTACATGCAATACGGCTACTGGTACCTGGAACGTTGGTATGAAAATTGTTTACTTCACGATGCTTTTGAATTTACAAATAAAAAATATTTACGATTTAATTTAACAATTCAGTTGGACCAACTGGAGTCTTAGCCAACGAATGTAAAGACTTTTCAAAAGTTGCCGGCGATCCTAAATTTATTACAGCGACAACACTTGATACGGAATCTGTTACAAACGCAGGATTAAGATCCGCAGTTTTACCAAACGACACCTCAACTGCCATTTTTACGCGCGAAGCAGCTGAGAATTCACCAAATCCTTCCGTTGATACTACCTGGATTAGATCTAAAGCTTCTGTAAGACATTAGTTGTTATACTCCTAAAGTCATTTTTAGTTATTGCGAACTCTTAATTTATTTTTCTTGGTTCATTTATTTTATAGGATCAAACAGGGAACGGCAAATTTGTCCAGGTGACCTATCTTCAAAGAGTCTTAACCACCGGAGGACTCCCACCACCAACTAGTGAATGTAAGTTTAAATTCACGTGATTTTAAATATATCGAAGGAAACAGTTTTAAAATTTCTCATTTTATGCATTTTACGTGATAAATATAATAGGCGGTTCAATTTACCCCAATAATTTTCTCTACTCTGCACGGTTCAGCGCTACATATTTATTCTACGTAGCAAAGTAATTAATAGAAGAGTATGTTTAATAAAATGAAAGATTCAAATTTAATATATAAGTTAAAATTTTAATAGAAACCTAAACATTTATCATAATTTAGTTAATTTATTTTTTTTTAAATTTTGAAACATCAATAATAAATTATTTAGCAATACACTAATTATTTGATAAGGATCATTATTTATTTTTTATTTACTTATTTATATCAGTTGCATGTTCTTATTATTTTTTCTTTTAACAAACTCTGATGAAATAAATATCGAAATCATATTACTAAGAACATTTATAACATATTATATATTCGTATTTTTTTACAGTTCTTTATTGATAATCAGTTTGATTATAATATCTATCGTGTTTACAATTTTATTAGTCTAAAAAAAAGTAGGAAGTAGTAATAGAAGTCTTTAACTGCTGCTTTTTTTAAAAGCGATTACTAACACCTACTGGGGGCATATTTTTTTTAGATGTCGAAACATTTCGCTTACTGTAAAAATTTTCGTTGAATAGTATAAAGAAGTTCTATTTGATTATTATCTAATTCTAATTCTGATTCTTGTTAAAACATTACTAATACTTTGAATGGCTAATCTTGGTTTAATTTTTTTATCTGGTTTGTATTGAATTAAATCAATAATATCTTCATTTGTTATATCAATATCTTGAATTTGAAGTGAATCATCAATTTCAATATAATCATTTGTATCAATAATATCTTTATAATTATAAGGTAATTTATTAATCAGATTTTGAATTTCTTTAATATCATATTGTTGTTGTGAAATTAATTCTCCAGTAATAGTACTACTAGAAGATGGTGTTTCTGGAATATCAAGTTCTAAAAATCGTGAAGATTCTATAATATCTGTTTTTTTCCAACAATTTAAAATAGTATCACAACTGATATTATTCCATGCTTCTGCAATCCAATCTATAGCATGTTTAATATTAATTTCTTCCGGTATTTCATTTGTATTATATGTTAAATTAAATTGATCTATTTTAAATTTTACAAGAAGTTTTCGATACTGTGCTTTAAAAGAACAAATTATACCTGCATCCATTGGTTGTAAATGTGTTTTAGTATTAGCAGGCAATGGTTGTAATGCAATATTTGATAAATTTTCTGATTTTAAACTTTCTTCACTACAATGAACAGCTGCTTAATCATATAAAAGAATAATTGATCGATTTTCTTCATTCATTTGTTTATTTAAATTAATTAAAAATTCATTCCAAATTGTTGTAGTCATCCATGCTGTATTATTCCAATAATAATTAACTGGTAAATCTTCTTTTTTTATTCTTAATAATGGACGAAGTGTTTTATAATAATGAATTACTAATGGTTTTATTTTAATTGTTCCTGAAAGATTTGAACATAAAAGAACTGTAACTCTTTGTTTATTTTTCTTTTTTCCAGCAATTGCTTCTTTAGCATGGGATTTTGAAGGTTCCATTTTCCAAAATAGTCAAGTTTCATCACAATTGAAAATATTTTCCAATGGCCAATCTTTTAATAAATTTTGCAATGCTTTTCAGAATCTTGGAATATTTTCAAGAGGTGCACTATTTGCTTCTCCATGATGTACAAATTGTCTTAAATTAGCACGCCTTTTAAAATTAGTTAACCAACCTTCAGATGCTTTAAAATCAGTAATATTGAGAAGTTTGGCAATTCTCTAGCTTTATAAGTTAAAATAAATCCGGTTATTATTAAATTAACTTTAAGTGCATTATCTACCCATGTTATTAATGCTTTTTCTAATTAAGGAAATTTAGGTTTTCTCATTTTTTTCATTTGAGCTTGATAATTATTAAGATCAATATTAAGCCAATAATCATTATTTTAAGAATTTTTGAAACAGTACTAATATTAATATTAAATCTTTTTGCTAAAGATTCATTTGATAATTCTAGATTTTGTTGCTTTATTAAACATATTTCATATTTTTGATTATTTTTTAAATTATGTCTAAGAAATCTAACTGAAATATGTTTCATTTTATTAAAAATAAAATTTAAAAAAATAATAATTCAAAAAATAAAATTACAGAAAGTAAGGTATATTTATATTAATTATCAATAAATATTATTTTGTTTTTTAATTAAATATGAATAAGTTCATTTACCTTCTAAATTATTGTTATGGGTTCTATATTCATGTACAATCAATTTCAAGATATCTTGATTAAAATTTACTCAAAAAATATTCAGTTTTGTTTGAAATATAAAAATTAAATTTTATTAGTGCTGTTATCCGTGCAAACCTTCTACAATTTACAAAGACAACAGGATGAAATAATACTAAAACTAATAAATAAAACTAAGTATAACTATAAGAATTACTAATCTCAAGACAAAATAATCACAATATAAAGGTTTATTCGTAGAAGGAATTAAGTATGATCAATTATAAAAAAGGTGCATTTACTATTAACAGTGGTATGGAGACTTGTTAATAGAAGCAAACAGTTTATCAATTATCAAAAGAATATAATAAACAAGGAACTCAAAGGATTTTGTAATATTAACTTTATTACTTAATAA